TATGTCGGCCTCGTTAAACTTTAACATACTGCCGGGTCCCGTCCAGTGAGCTGCAACCACTATAAATTATCAATAACGTGCAACCTGTGCATGTCTCAACCCTATCTGCGCATGACTGTGACAATGCCACCATCACCTATGATTAAGGATTCCCGACGGAAACAGAAACGTCAGGAAAAGAAAATTCTTGTTCCAGTGATCGCTTCTCCTTCTGAACTGCTTCCTGGAACTCGCATATTCAATTCTGTTGCCTTGTCTTTGCCAGCCATACTGTATTGAATCACATGACAATCGCATCCTGTCGTCAGAGTTTTTGCTGCACCCGGTCCTTTCCATGTTAAAAGGATTACTTTTGCGACCCATCAGTCGAGGCAAAATTAAAATTAAATGCAATTTTCTATTTCAGCATCACTGCCATCGCTGGTACCAGATGCGGTTACGTCCCCGCCAACGACTACGTCGATACCAGTTTACGATCCGCCTGAGGAGAACCTCTTCGGTATGCTAACAAACCCGCATTTTAAAAAAAAATTTCTCGTTCTGGCGAGATGAGTTCACTTCCCCTCCCCCGTGCCCTCACCTAGATGTTCGTTACAACCAAACCACCAATCATATGTGGACATTCGCCGAACCTGGGCCCTGGATCCAAGACAAGGGGTCAAAGAGTAACTTTGTTACAAAAGCGCTCTATCAGCGTTATGATAGCTACGACGCCAAACTGCACACTCCACCCATAAAAACAGACTTTGAAAATGCCGAAAGAAGCCTATTTGTGGCTCTGGATACGAAGGACAACCGTCTTGGCAATGACCAATTTGCAGAAGGTCTCTTTTCCGGCGATACTCAGAGCGTTTGGCTTATACAAGAGGACAAGAAGGTGGCCTGTTTCCCGCTAGTTCCCGATTTAAAAGCAGAACGCACATATTTCCGATCTTGCCTCCTTGATCCCGAGGAATGCGACTACGGACTGACTGTGAGTGTGTGGGTAAGGTTCGCCCGATTGAGTACGGACGCCAGGCAGGTGCTGATTTCTACTGGTAAGTAATATGGTGCATCAAATTGAAATTATTCCAAACGGTGGCAAACCTGTTATAATCACGTGTCTCTGCGAGAATTTTGGGTTGAAATATATGTGGGTTCAAGTATCGATTAACAAATTTATTAGTCTAAGTTGATCCACTTGTGAAAAACTCGTTGGCCTCGGTGAGGTTCAAAACCAAGGGAAAGGCTTCAGTGCAGCGAACGCTCCAACCTCCGGAGCTATGAGACCTTACCAGTAATGATCATTTTACCCACAATTTGATTAAGTACCCGCCCAGACTATTGCCCAGCGAGACAGTTACCCTTTTGGATCAAATTCATGAGTACCGATGAGACCTCGTAGGCCAAGGGACAAAACTTTGGGTTGTACTAAATCTTCCTCTTTACTGTCGGGGATTCAAAGCCTATCGAGACCGTATAGACCTTTACACTAGGATCAAGTGAATACGTCAAATTTGCGTAAAGCCCCATACAAATGTGTTCATCGACCCAAACCTGTCAAAATCCCCTGAGTTATGTCAATACGCAAAGACGTGCTGAATCACATAGACGAGACAAATAACCGTTCGTAGTCTGCAAACCGCTAAAACTTACTGTATGTCGATCGGCTAGAGTTGAGCTTTAAGTAAGAGTACGCATTGGGGTCGCAGAAGGGTCCCAGAGTATTATAGCCACCTACTTTTTAATTGTAAGTATGTTGAATTACCCACAATCTTCCGCTTTTCTGCACGCCAGCAGTCAATCTAGTAGGGATTGGTTGATGGCATTGAACTGCAGAGTGGTCCTCGGGAGCCAACTGCACCCAATAACCTATTGAGTCAGCATACTAAGCAAAAATGGCTTTTCAAGTTAAGTTCGGGAATAATTGCCTACTTTAAATTTTTAATTAGGATGAATTTCCACAATCTTCCATTTTCTGCACTCGTTCACCTGTAATCTAGTTGGGGTTAGTGGTACTTCTAGTAAATGTACATCAATGACCTCACACGAGGTCAGGGCACACTGCTCCTATATACACGCGTTCGCCGTTGGTCCAATAGGGGTTAAGCGATACTATTAATGCGTACTTCCGTTTCCCCGCCCGAGGTTTGAGTACACGCCCAAACTTACCCTCGTACCTTTTTTAATTTACAGGATTGTTGCGATCTAATTTGTTCCCTGACATGCCCCACCCGTACTCTTCCCCAAAATCAGGAACCTGTAAGACCTAGGGGCGCGCTAAGCGCGCGCCCCAGGCGACCCCACAAGGTACTCCTACCGAGCTCTTTTTACGAAGAGATATTCAAGTCAAGACTTTTTGGTTTATATAAGAACAGGTGTGTTTGATCAGCTGGGATCGTTGTTGACGAAAAAAGTAGCAAGTAAGTCAAAGTAAACATACATGTCATTTACGAAATCTATGTTTTTGCTCCCAATCTTTTTACGTCCCTATTTAGTTTGCTTACAGCAGGACGTGAAGGGGACTTAAACAGTCATACATACAGCTTTAGAATACACAGTAGATAGGCTATCGCAGCAAATGTTGGCTGAAATTCTGAAATTTCTTTTTGGCTACGGGAACATAGTTAAGCAGGGTTGTAAGATCAGTTACAGTACAGTACAATTTCAGAATATTTCAGCTACTTCAAGATGTCGTCTCATACTCGAGCCGTTTTCCGGCTACGACAAAAAGCCACAGTCTGCATAAAGTGATTACTTATGTTGTATAAATTTTTTATCGATTTTAATGCCCTCAGGAATCCAAATTTATTCAATAGAAAATAAGCACAAACATATCCTTTCATCCACTCATGTTGTTACAGATTAGGCATGTATAAATTTCATAGTAGACGTCAAAGATCACACAACATTTCGACCTATGCGACAGACTGATACTCTTTCGCTAATCGGCATTGACTCAAGTTGTGATACTGATTA